TCGGGGTGGAAGCTCTCCTGCAGCCCCCCGATTGACCCCCCCGGATGGCAGCCTGCGGCAAGTGCAGCCAGGCTGATGGCCGGGTGCTGTGATGTGTCGACTGTGGGCACTCAGGGCACTCCAAGACTGCTTTGCCGTCCCTCATCGAGTTAGACAAGCAAGCATCGAACCCTGAGAACTGACTGTCCGTGGTGGGGGTCGGGTCCCTTTAAGCACAGCCCTCGGCTAGCCTGAGACAGCAGCTCCACGCTCTAAGTCCTAACCTGATGCCCTGCCAGCACTGCTTCCGGCCAGCCTTAACTTTGGTTCGGGGTCCACTCAGTGTGGACATGCTAGTTTGAATTAGCAAAATGCTAATTCGAACTAGTTTTTAGGTCTAGATACACTAGTTCAAATTAGCTTAGTTCAAATTAACTAATTTGAATTAAGTTAGTTCGAGTTAGTGCTGTAGTGTAGACATACCCTTAGGGAGTCAGAATATTGGGAGATGGAGCAGTATATGTGGTAATACACTACCAGCCATTAAGGCCTTGCATGAATGTAGTCCGTGTAGATTCTGGTGGCCTGCCCCCAGCTGTTTTCCTGGAGTTACGCGTGAAAGGCTGAATAAACAAACAAAAAGCCTGTGGCACGATGGACTAGTCTCCAAAGAGTTACCAGGCATATCTAAAATTTGGAGTCAGACCAAGTGTGCAAAACACGTGTGCAATGAGGAGTAACAGTTAATTCAAGGGAAAGGTTTTGAATCGGACTACCGTGTCTTCACGCGGCAAGTTAAATAGGGCAACCGGTATTTTAAAATGGTGACTGGCCGCGAATATGCTAATCAAGCGCGGGATATTTAAATCCCTTGCTTCATTAGCAACTTTGGTATGCTTCATTTGCCTCCCTAGTCCGAACTAGGGGGCAAGTGTAGACATACCCTGCTTGACCAGAAATGTCCCCTAACTATCCCTTAGTGCCTTTTTTTGTGGGTGCTCTGCTTGAGGTACAGCCAGAAGCACCACATTCTGGGATTTTACTGGGAGTCGAACCCTCTTTCCTGTCGTTCTTAATGCCTCTGTAGTAAGACGAGGGCCTGAAACAAGCCACGTATCACAGGGCTGGTGTGAAGCCTGAGGCCTGCCCAAGAATGGTCAA